CCAATGGAATGAAACCGGTGGAGATACTGCTACGATTAGAATAATTAAAATATTTTTTGCGACCTCGGCTAAAGTCGAAAACAAGGTTGCTTGTGATCGAAGCAACATCACATATTTAATGTAATATTATTCTAATACTTGTTAATACGTAGTGGAACGTCGGCTGAAGACGATTTAAGACCCAGAATGATATTACGGCCGAGGCGCTACAATTAATGCTATATTAACATATATTGAAGTGTTTCGGCATAAAAACATCGATAGAAAATTGGGCAACATAAATTGTAACACATCGACCATAAGCAACAGTGGATAATCTTAGAATTTAGACTGTATGCTCTTGTATTAATTAATTAATTTCACATGTACCTAAACTTGGTTAATATAACATGTGGGTTGGTTAACAACCTGGATAAGTGATGCAATTTCATCTTTTAATCATGTTGTTAACCAACCCAAGCCAGTGGAAACCATCCTAACTAACTACTGTGATGATATATGTATATAAATGATATTGATACAAAACAAGATAGCTTCTATAGATGACTAGAGTTTTTCTGACAATATTCTAGTATACGTGGTGTCTTATTGTTTGTGATATAAGAAATAAATCGCTCTAAGTATCACGAATAATACTACCTAAGCATTGTTGTGATATTTGCGATTATTTTTTCCATAAATTTCAAGCAGGTTTTCCGCTGATTAGGTTGGGTTGGTTCGGTTAACAACCTGGATAAAAGTATTGATTTGGTTTATTAATCAGGTTGTTAACCAACCCAACCCAACCAAACTCAGTGGGTACCAACCCAACAAACTACTTTCCTCCATCAGTTTACTTAATTTTTGGATTACATGTATATATATATAACTGTTCTTGCATTGAATGCTAGTCACATCGGCTATGATTAAAAAGATTTATGTTTGATGTCGTTTGGTTAAGCCGAGGCCGCTCGCGGCCTAGGCAGTAGAGTTATTACTATATTAACCCAAAAACTGATTAATAAATAGTAGTAAAAAATAGTATTAACTCTACTGCCTCGGTCGTAAGCGATCTCGGCTTAATATTGTGACATCGTGAATCAAGCCGAGGTCGCTTGCGACCGAGGCAGTACGTTGTTTGACTCTAAGTTTGTGTTGATATAGTATTAACTGTAATGCTTCGACCGCAAGCGATCTCGGCTTAATACTGTAATCTTGTGTATTAAGCCGAGGTCGCTTGCGGCCGAGGCAGTACGTTGTTTACACTAGCTTTGTGGTTATACGGTATTAACTTTACTGCTTCGGCCGTAAGCGAATTCGGCTTAATACACAATATTACAGTATTAAGCCGAGGTCGCTTGCGGCCGAGGCAGTATGTTTTTTGACACTAGTTTTGTGTTAATATAATATTAACTTTACTGCTTCGGCCTCAAGCGACCTCGGCTTAATATACAATATTACAGTATTAAGCCGAGGTCGCTTGCGGCCGAGGCAGTATGTTGTTTACACTAGCTTTGTGTTTATACGGTATTAACTTTACTGCTTCGGCCGCAAGCGAATTCGGCTTAATATACAATATTACAGTATTAAGCCGAGGTCGCTTGCGGCCGAGGCAGTANACAATATTGCTCTCTTGTATTTTTGCTCTCAGATGCATCAATATAAAAAAAATACGAAAATATGAAAATTTGATGAATTTCTTTGTATTACTATTAGCTAATGGTAACATTTGGGAATCGAAACGTGTTACAAAAAAACTTTTAGAACCAAAGTTGTAGCAAATTTTGTATTTAACAATATTGCTCTCTTATATTTTTGCTCTCAGATGCATCAATATCAAAAAAAATACGAAAATATGAATATTTTATGAATTTCTTAGTTTTACTAGTATTAATGGTAATATTTTGGAAACAGAGTATGTTATAAAAATATATATATATAAACTAACTTAATAATCTTAGCAGCTTGAAATTTGATATAATCTAACCGAAATCGTTCGTTTATAACTTCAAAAAGTTGCATTTCTTAAATCCTAACCTACATACATACATATATACATATATATATATTTATTACCCTGATAATGATACCAACGGAATGAAACCGGTGGAGATACCGCTACCATTAGAATAATTTTCCGTATTAACTTAAACTTAGAAAGAAATAGCAAGAATCTTTTAGTATGTTAGTAAAGAATTAAAATTTTTTCGGAATATGATAATCAACATATTTCTTCGCGACCTCGACTAAAATTGAAAACGAGGTTGCTTGTCGATTACAAGCAACATCATATATTTAATGTAAAATCAATCTAATACTTGTTAACACGTAGTGGAACTCAGAATGATATTGATTGGTTAAGGCGGCCGAGGCGCTACAATTAATGCTATATCAACATATTTTGCATCTTTTAATTAGGTTGTTAACCAACCCAACCTATAAATAATGTTGATACAAAACAAGATAGTTAGCTCCCATAGATGACTGGAATTTTTCTGACAATATTCCTGTATACGTGGTGTCTTATTGTTCGTGATATAAGAAATAAATCACTCTAAGTCACGAAAAATACTTAGAGTGAGATTATTTCTTTCATAAAGTTGTTAATGGTGTATCTCCGGATTCGGAGCACAACTTATGGAAGAAATAATCTCTGCCGACTTCGAAGATGTCGGCCGCCCTAAGTATTGTCGTGATATTTGAGATTAGTTTTTTCACTTGGTTTCCCGCTGATTAGGTTGGGTTGGTTTGGTTAATAACCTGGATAAAAGTATTGATTTGATTTATTAATCAGGTTGTTAACCAACCCAACCCAACCAAACCCAGCGAATACCAACCCCACAAACTACTTTCTTCCATCGGTTTACTCAGTTTTTTAGATTACATATATATGTATATAATTGCTCTTGTAATGAATGCTGGTGATATCGGCTATGATTAAAAAGGTTTGTGTTTGGTTAAGCCGAGGCCGCTTGCGGCCGAGGCAGTAGAGTTAATACTATATTAACCCAAAACTGATTAATAAATATCTAGTAGTAAAAAATAGTAATAATAGTATTAACTCTACTGCTTCGGCTTGATATAGTGACACCGTGTATTAAGTCGAGGCCGCTTGCGGCCGAGACAGTACGTTGTTTGACACTAACCTTGTGTTGATTAACATTTAATATACAATATTACAGTATTAAGCCGAGGTCGCTTGCGGCCGAGGCAGTACGTTGTTTGATACTAGCCTTGTGTTAATATAATATTAATTCTACTACCTCGTCCGCATGCTACCTCGGCTTAATATACAATATTACAGTATTAAGCCGAGGTCGCTTGCGGCCGAGGCAGTACGTTGTTTACACTAGCTTTGTGTTTATATGGTATTAACTTTACTGCTTCGGCCGTAAGCGAANGCCGAGGCAGTACGTTGTTTCATACCATTTTTGTGTTGATAGAATGACATCGTATATTTCAGTGTATTAAGCCGAGGTCGCTTGCGGCCGAGGCAGTACGTTGTTTACACTAGCTTTGTGTTTATATGGTATTAACTTTACTGCTTCGGCCGTAAGCGAATTTGGCTTAATACACAATATTACAGTATTAAGCCGAGGTCGCTTGCGGCCGAGGCAGTATGTTTTTTGACACTAGCTTCGTGTTAATATAATATTAACTTTATTGCCTCGGCCGCAAGCGACCTTGGCTTAATATACAATATTACATTATTAAGCCGAGGTCGCTTGCGGCCGAGGCAGTACGTTGTTTCATACCATTTTTGTGTTGATAGAATGACATCGTATATTTCAGTGTATTAAGCCGAGGTCGCTTGCGGCCGAGGCAGTACGTTGTTTACACTAGCTTTGTGTTTATATGGTATTAACTTTACTGCTTCGGCCGTAAGCGAATTTGGCTTAATACACAATATTACAGTATTAAGCCGAGGTCGCTTGCGGCCGAGGCAGTACGTTGTTTGACATTAGCCTTGTGTTAATATCATATTACCTCTACTGCCTCGGCCGCAAGCGACCTCGGCTTAATATTGTAACATCGTGTATCAAGTCGAGGCCGCTTATTGTCGAGGGAATATGTTGTTTACACTCGCTTTGTGTTGTTATGGTATTAACGCTACTGTTTCGGCCGCAAGCGACCTCAACTTAATACTATAATATTGTATATTAAGTCGAGGCCGTTTCCGGCCGAGGCAGTACGTTGTCGACACCAGTGTTTTATTGACATAATATTAATAATAGCGCTACGACCTCGGCTAAATTTAAAACAGATAAAGAAACATATTACAACTCCTCAGTTATAAACGATATTGGCTAATGTTAAAATGGTGAATATGTGTGTTTTTTATTAATGTTAATTGTTGTGAACCCAAAACTGATGCGATCTCGGCTAAACATTGAACAGATAATGAAATATATTGATTAATATGTATTTCTTAATTAATATATATACATGGTGGAACAAAAGTATGGAATATATCTAGTAAACATGCTATTTGCGACTCACATGAAAAATGTTTCTTGATTAATTCTGGCACATATTTTGGCTATATTAGTTTGTTTGTATTATTCTTCGTTTCGTTGCTATGGCAACCAGCAACCAACAATGTTTTTGCATATTTTGATCATATTTCATTTTATTTTATGGATGTATCACATCATCAGGTTTATTAATATGTATGTGATGAACTCAAACAGAAGTAATTTTTATTTTCAACCCATTTGATATAAAATACAATTGGAAATAGTTATACAAGATTTTTCTAAGACATTATTTTTAGTTTAACCCGGAGATGAATTTATTACAACTTATTTGTGTCAATTTTGTGCGATTTAGAATATAGAGAAAAAAATGATTTTCAGGCAAATGTTTCCTCAGATGAAGTTCCGGGTTTCCGGTTTGGATTTGAAGGCGAAATACATCCTGCTGTTGGATATTGTCGCGGCAGACGATTACCGTTACAAATTCCACAACAGGTACGAAACGTTGGACCGATACAAATTTTTGAAACTTGTTGTTTTTTATAGGCGCATGTTTCCTGCATACAAAGTCCGTGTACTTGGATTAGACAAAAAATCAAAATACATCTTGCTCATGGACATTGTTGCGGCTGACGATTGTCGATACAAGTTTCACAACAGGTTAGAACCGTTTCTCGCTTCGTTTTTCATTTTTTTTTTGGTCGCGGGGTGCGACCATCAAAAAAAATTTTTTTTGACAATCTAAAATCTTCAAAATAATCAATTATCATCAAAAATTAAAAAAAAAATAAATAAGATGTTTTCACCCCTTGACCTTGATGTGTTCTTCTATCTGTGTATATCCAAAACAAAATCCTTTCGCGACCAAAAAATAAAAAAAGCGACGATCGGGTGATTAAAAAAAAAAACAAATGCACGAAGCATGCGTACTATACGTTTTTTATACGTCATAGTTTACTCGATTTACCCCCACCTTTTCTTAAAATATGTATATTAATTTTTTTCGATCGAAAGCATGTTTGTTTTTTTTAATATATTAATTAATTAATTAATTAATGTTTTTGCGATCGAAAAAAAATCTTTTAAATCTCTTAATTTTAATTTTTTTTTAATGTTTTATTTTTTTTAAATGTTATTTTTTTAGTCGATGGATGGTAGCGGGAAAAGCAGACCCGGAAATGCCAAAGCGGATGTACATCCACCCAGATTCACCCTCAACGGGCGAACAATGGATGCAAAAAGTCGTTTCATTCCACAAATTGAAGCTAACCAATAACATTTCGGATAAACACGGATTTGTAAGTACTTTATTTCCTCATATTTCTTCGCGAATATAAAAAAAATTATATATAATCGTGAAATTGCGAATTTTTCTTTCTTTTTTCTCTCTGCAACCCCCAGAGTTAGAAAGTAGTGTAGTGGCTCGGGTTGTGAATGATTCAAAGGGGGAAGTTTTATGGCGTCGAAGAAGTAGGAAGAAGGGGGGTTTCGGTGTGGTGGTGTATTCCACCCCTAAGTAGATCACGTCACGCCTCGGGGCGTGTCCAGCCCGGCTGATACCCTGAATAAGACATGATCTCGCGCGGGATGTTTTATTCATTCGGCGAAAAGGGGGAACCACCATAAAAAATTCACTCCCATCAAAGATGCACGGGTCCGCGAGAAGTTCGCGAACTAAAATATCGATTCTTACACACAAAATTGTGTTTTTTTTTAAATAAAAATATATTTCATAAAACCGGTTTCGGCCTAGACCATCGTCAGGAGTCTTGTTGTATAAGGTTGAGGTTAGGAAACACATTCAAATTTTAACCTCAACCTTATACAACGAGACTCCTGACGATGGTTTAGGGCGAAACCGGTAGAGTTAATAAATTAAATAAAATATATTGGATTTGAAAATTGTTGTAAACATTATTTCTTTCCATTTTATTTTAAATAATTATGACAAACACGTGTGCACATAATCCTGTTCGATAGTTTAAACTTAATACGCAATCTACCAATAATAAAGAAGACACGGACGCATTTCAATAAATAAAAAACGTTTAATAGAAATTTCAAGATGCTAATTTTCACGATTGCTTTAAAATAAATTGACGAGGTTCCTGAAGATAGTTTTGTTTTAAATAAGCCGAAACCGGTAGAATTTATAACTGACTATGTCAGTTCAACATATGCATGTAAAAGAATACTTCAATAAGTGATCTAATTGCAGCAAGAATGACTTCAATCAATAGATATATTTTATACATTTCATGTAAGAGTCTGTGAAAAATTTTGTGTAGAAAAACCGAGTAGCATTGTTCACATATTTTAATAATAATAATAATAATAATTCACTTTATTGCCCAACAAAGATCAATTACAGGACAATATTACAAGAAAAAGAAAATAAGAAATAACACATGCCATAAAACAAATATAATTCACATAAACACTCTTACACTATTATTGATTGTTAGTTAGTTTACACATCCTCTGCACCGGGGAGTTGGCTAAAACATTGGATCTGCAATTCCTCAAATAAAAATGATTTGTACTACGTGTTGTAACAACCAACCACAATCCAATTCACCTTGCACTAACTTCTGCAAAAACTTGATGCACTGGTCATCTCTTCTTACGTCTAGTGCAGAAAAACTGTGACGCCGCAGCAGGGATGCGTAATCCATTCCACGATCCGGGTATGATCCGTCCAGGGGTAGAGACAAATATTTGAGAAATCTCCTCTGAATTCTCTCCAATATAAGTCTATGACACACATAATGTGGCGACCAAATTACAGAGCCATATTCCAATTTGGACAATACAAAGGTCGATATCAGAAAAAGCACGTGAGGTGCGCAAAACGAAACCAAGCATCCTCGCAGCAGAAGATGCAATATTTTCGATGTGAGGTACAAAAGACAATTTGCGGTCAAAAGTTACTCCCAGATCCTTGATTGTAGATAATTTCTCAAGAAGAACACCTTCTATATAATAAGAAGATGGAAGAGGAGACAGCTTGCGTGTAAAACTAACTGCACCGCACTTATTGGCATTAATCTTTAGCTGATAACGGTTACACCATTCCACCAAGACGTCCAAATCCGACTGAAGACTGACAACATCACGGTCCGCAAAAATAGGTCGGAATAGTTTCAGATCATCCGCATAAGCTAGTACGGTTGATGAAAATTTTTAATGAATATTTTCTTAACAAACTTACGTTGTGCCCCTTTTATATATCGGGTATTGTAGTGATGGTCCACATTCCTTAGCAAATCAATTTTGGCATGCATAAGTTATAACCTTGAGTATAAATAACTTCCGGACATCGAAAACTCCAAATCCTACGCTGTAGTACATACTGTATTAAATTCCATAGTATAGTCTCGACTCTACCAAACGATGCTACATTGTCTTTGTCAATTGTGGCTATTTATTTGTAGTCAAGTAAACAGACAATTCATCGTGTGAATGGCATGAAAAATGTTTTCTCCACGATTATAAGAAAGCTAATCAAATATTTTAATTACGTCACTCTCTGCCTAAGCCTTCACCCCTCCCTACTGTTCGTATAAATATTAAATAGCAAGAGTCCCAAAACTGTTTGAGTTAAATAACTGCAAAATAATGTTTAGGTTATGCCCCTTATTCATATGGCTTCAAGAGCATTCAACAATCGCTAATGATTTACTGAGTCAAATGCTCATATTGCTTATGTTGCAGTACCCTTTCCAAACAGAAAGTATAAGCGTTTTGTTAACTTTGTGATGGCATCGCTAGTTGATACACTCGGTATGATAACAGGAAATAGTCAGTTCTGAGGAATTGTAGCGCCTCGCCCGCAAGCGACCTCGGCAGCTTTAATGTAAATGTTTCCTTCTATTAGATTTTGTGTCTTTACTAAAATATATAAGAAACGATTTAGCAACACAAAATAGTCATCTCTAGATATTGTAGCGCCTCGCCCGCAAGCGACCTTGGCGGTTTTGAGGGTAAACATTTTCTTATAAGAGACTTTGTAGCTTTCTAAGGTGTGAAAGGAACGATTTCGTCTCAAATCGCCGAGGTCGCTTGGCGTTGGTTTTGAACTAACACGAAATAGTCAGCTCTGGCAGATTGTAGCGCCTCGCCCGCAAGCGACCTCGACGATTTGAAGGTAAACGTATTCTTTGTAAGAGAGACTTTGTATCTTTATCAAGATATAAAAAAACTATTTCGTCTCAAATCGCCGAGGTCGCTTATTGGCGAGGCGCTGGTTTTGATCTGACGCGAAATAATCACCTTTGGAGAAATGTAGCTCCTCGCCCGCAAGCGACCTCGGCGGTATTGAGGTTGAACGCTTTTTTATAAACTTTGTATCTTTATCAAGATATAAAAAAACTATTNCGGTTCTCTTAATTGGTGGAAAAAATCCGTCGATGTACGATCCGCGGTGTGCGCGACAGAAAATTCTTATCGAAAATGTCTATATTTGGCTTTTATAAGGGAAAATCTGATTTTTCAAGTTTTACTACTACAAATTTGCGTTTAAATTAGTTATGAACAACATCACTATTACATAATATACAGGGTGATTCTCAACTTATCAAAGCAAGTATTAAAAGTTGTTTCCAATATTTTCATATATATATATATATATTAATATATCCTTGCTCAGTTGTAATGTTAAATGCCTGTGTTAACCACTGTATGCCATCCTCAGTATCAGTCAAGAGGACGGCATCATCTGCATAGCACTCAATCTCTATTTTGTACTTATATGCTTTGCCCTGTTCTAATTCTTTTATCCTTACTTTGTCGAACTTTTTGGTTAGATCAACGAAACAGAAGAAGGGTGCCTCACGTTTTTCGCCGGAGTTCTATTTGACTAAATTTCGCCATGCATAATTTGTGTAGGCAACTCTTGCAATCAAGAAGACATGAGCAAACGACCCACTCAAATGTATGTAAAGATTTTTTTGCAGAAGATGATATAAGTATCTTGGTATCAGTTCTAAACAGATGACGGACTTGTGGTTTTGCAAAAATAATAGCAACGGACTTGGTGGGATTTACAATTAAAGTAGTGATTCCTTGAAAATTTAACCAATGACTTCAGATCGTCATTAATTCTATTAGTTTCTTGTAGAACATCATGAAGTGCAAAGAAGTGATATAACTGGGTGTCGTCAGCATATCTGTGTATGTTTGTATGAGCAACACATTGCGTATAAATAGAATATTGTGGGTATAAATAGAGAACAATACTGAGCCCTGCGAGACTCCCAAATTAATACTCCTATATAACGAGAATTCGCTTATTTTATTATTGTCTACTGCCTATAAAATATCATCAACTCTCCCAAAACATCTAACATTTCCAAATATGTAATGATCTGCTTTGCTACCACTTTCTGCAGAATTTTAGATACAACAGCTAACAAACTTATAGGTCTTAAGTCATTTAGAGCTTCAAACTGAGGTTTCTTAGGAATTGGTACAACAATTGTGTTGTAATTGTGATTTAGATTTCGAGTGGATATTCACAGTTTTAGACACTTTCCAAAATTCATCCGAGTAGTTGCCCGAATTCTTGTATTAATATAGTATTAATATAAGTTACGCAATTGCTTATAATAATTAAAATGTTCAGGATTTACGGGTACGTTTGAATCGTTTCATAGCAGCATCTCTCATAGTCATCATAAGCTTTAGATTATCCGTCAACCACGGAGCAGGAGGCTTTGATGTCAGATCAAAATCAGCGCCTCGCCCGCAAGCGATCTCGGCGTTTTGAAATAAAATCGTTTTTTACATCTCGATAAAAATACAAAGTCTATTATAAGAAAATATTTAACTTGAAAATCGCCAAGGTCATTTGCGGGCAAGGCGCTACAACCTCCCACAGGTAACTATTTCATGTCAAATCAAAACCAGCGCCTCGCCCGCAAGCGACCTCGGCGATTTGATACGAAATCGTTTTTTTATATCTTGGTAAAGCTACAAAGTCTCTTATAAGAAAACGTTTACCTCAAAACTGCCGAGGTCGCTTGCGGGCGAGGCGCTACAATCCCCCAAGGCGGCTATTTGGTATCAGTACATCAAAACCAGCGCCTCGCCCGCAAGCGACCTCGGCGATTTGGGGCTAAATCGTTTTTTATATATTTTGGTAAAGACACAAATTATAATATAAGAAAACATTTACACTGAAACCGCCGAGATCACTTGCGGCTATACTATGAAATTCACTACAGTATGTAGTACAGCGTAGGATTTGGAGTTTTGGATGTTCGGAAGTTATTTATACTCAAGGTTATAACTTATGCAT